GGGGGGGGGGGGGAACTGTTCCCAGGCCCTGATCCCATGGGGGGGCTGGCAGCTCCTGGGGGGGGGATTGCTGCTCCTCCCCCAAGTTTGTGTCTAATCTTCCCCCCCACCCTTTCTTTATTTATTTATTTATTTATTTATTTATTTCCCCCCTCAGGTGGAAAATGCAAATGCAAATTTAACCGCAAAGCCAGGTAGGGGGTGGGGACTAGGGAGTGCAAGGGAGGGGTCATGCTATACTTTGGAAGAGGTGTGGGGGGGGTCATGTTGTGGATGCTGGAGGCATGTGGTGTGAATTGGGGAAACAGTGGGGGTGGGGCAGTGAGGAGGGGGCATGGAGTGTGGGGGGGTCATGCTGGAGGGGGAATGGAGGCGTAAGGCTGGCGCGGTGGGAGGTCGTGGTGTTTGAAGGGGGGCGGTCACGTTCCCCATGCTCATAACCCTCCCTCTCCCTCCTCAGCCGGCGGCCGAGTGAGCCCCTTCACCTCGTCACCCCCGGTAAGTCCCCCAACCCCTTTCCTGGTCGGACTGGGGGGGATGCTTTGGAGTCTGGGGGGGAGGGGGTCTCTAAACTTATCACCCTGACCCTTGTGGGGCCCTTCTCCCTTCCCTGTGTCGCCCCCTAGTGGCTGCTGGTGGGAGAGACCTCTCAGCGCTGCAGAGGGGAGGGGACCTTATGTGGGGCTAGTGCGTTGCGTGTTGTTTCTCTTCCCCCCCGCCCCAGCTCCACAGATGGCTCCCATGGCTTCTCTGTAAGCGGGTCTGTTCCCTTCCCCTCTTATCTCGCCACAGGCACCGCCAGTAACTGCTGAACCACGATGGTCCTGGTGCCAGGTCTCGCCCAGGGCGCTAGCTCCTTGCTGGGACGTCCCATCCCCCGATCTGGGGAAGCAGAAGGGGGAGAAGTTTTTTAACTGAACTTTCCACTCTGTGGAATAAAAGTCTCCTGACCTTGAAACTCTGAGTGAGTCACGGGTGCCTTTCCCCTCTAGGGGGTGCCAGCTCCCATCCGGCCCTGGCAGGGACAGGACTGGCTGACTTGAGGGCAAGCGGGGAATGGGACAAGGGGCCTTTCCCCTCTAGGGGGTGCCGTCTACCTCCCTGCCCTGGGCCTGGATGGGAGCTAAGTGGCCTCTCCCTCTCTAGGAGGCGCTGGCTCTGGTGTAGGGAAGGCCACAGTGGCTGAGGGGCAGATAACCAGCAGGAGAACCCCTGGAAATGTCCTGGTTCCAGCAGAGTGCGAGGAACCTGCAGTGTCCCGTGAAAACACGATGAGTTGGCCGAACTCTTGGTGAAGCCCCGGCTGGGCTGGCCAGAAGCCCGGGGGCCAGGTCCTGCGCTCAGCGAGCACCTAACCACTGGCCAAACAAGGCCCAAGGGGCCCCTGGTTTGGGGGCTGGGCATGGGATGAACCATGGGCATCCTGCCCCCACTCAGCTGATCTGTGCCAACTCCCGCCTCAAGGTGGGCCCTTGCCCGCTGCTCGCACAGGCAGTGCTGCTCCAGCAAGCGCTCCCCGAGCCAAGCAGCCTGCCATCCATGTAACCCTGTGGGCGGGGCACTCCACTGGCCCTGGGGAGCCTGGGTCCAATCCCCCCATGCCGCAGGGGAAGACGGGGTTTCCAGCTCTCGTAGGCTCTCCTCACTGCCCTCTAGCATCCTTTTCTCGCAGCCCTGGCGAGCTCGCCTGGGTCCCACTCGATGGGGCGCCAGGGGCTGGCCACCAGCGCTCTTGGGAGCCTAGCTCCCTACGCCACACAGCAGCCCAGGCTAAACGGTGGCTGCCCTGTCTCTGGGGCTGCCTGGGTTAAACTGCCCTTGCCCTGCCATCACAGCTTCCCTCACAGCTGCCCCAGATGGTCACGGCGTCTGCCCACGGATGGGTACCCAACAGGTAGCTGGGCAACACCTGTGCACATCCTTTCTCCCTGGCTGCAGGCCGCAGGGAACCTGCTCTACCTTGGCCCAGCTGCCTGCTGGAGCCACAGGGCTGAAGGGGAGGGGGGGGGAGACAGGCCCTGTCCTGGTGGGGGGACTGCTGGCAGAGCCGCCGGGCCAAGGGGAATGTTCTGGAACTGTAGGGAGCCTGTGTGCCACAGTTTCTCTCTCTACTTTGCATTGTTACCTCAGGGGTGCGAAACGGTTAACGCTGTGCCAGAAGCCAGGAACCCTTGGTCTGTGTCCCAAAGCTGGGGGGCGGGGACCTGAATGGGACTGGCTGAAACCAGGCCCCTCAAGGGCGGAGTCACAAGGCCCATGAGAGCCTGAGGGTGCCATCAAGCACCCCCCCATACACAGGGGAAGGTGATTTTGTCCCCTCACCTCTCAGCAAGGGGAGCAGCGCTGGTGAACAAAGGGGGCGGGACTAAGGGCTGCCCTAGGAAGGGGCACAGGGGACTCAGCCAGATGGCATCAGCCAACAGCCCCCGGGCACCACTTTCCCTGCCAGCCGCACCCCTCTCCTCAGCACTTCCTATTGGCTACTTTAGGCTCCTCTCCACGCAGCCTGCTGGCTCTTGCGGGGCTCAGCCAGTGCCTGAGGTGCCAAACGTGCGGTCAGGGGCAGTGGGGGGGCCGCTGGCAAGGTCGGTGCTGCCGTACTCAGCATTGTAACAGCTAAATCCCTTAGGCCCAGGAGTCCTGGCTCCCCCCTGCTCTAACCACTAGATGCTGCTCCCCTGCCAGGGATAGATCCCAGAAGTCCTGGCTCCCAGCCCTGCCTTGCTCTAACCTCTAGACCCTACCCCTTCCCCGAGCTGGAGGTAGAACGTAGGAGGCCTGGCTGTCTCCCCCCTTTCTCGTCTTTACTCTAACCCGTCCCCCGATCACAGCAGCCCAGGGACAATATACGGTGTTATTTACAGAGCTCTGGCTGGGTAATGGGGCAGGGGGCATTGGGCGGGTCTGGGGGAGGGGGACAGAGGAATGCTGATTTTTCAGCAGCTGCCTCCAACCTGTGTGCCCCCCTATCCCAACATGGGCACTAGCTCCGCAGGCACCCCCGAGGTCCCTACTGCCCCCAGGTGGGGGGGATGGGGCGCCTGTCACTGAAACTGCTGGTTAGTGACCAGCAGGGTAGGCAAGGGTTAAATTTCACCGGCCCGTTGAGGTTGAGGCCTATTGGACTGTCAAATCTTGAGTTACCCCCCACCCCAGAGTGGGCCTAGCTAGCCCCATAGCCTCCCTTCCCCCCGAGCAGCCTCCCAGCCCGGCAGCCCGTCCCCTCCCATCTAGCCTGGCTTCCTGTTGCCCTGGTTCAGCCCCGGGGGGCCAGCAGCTAAGAATCCAGCCCATGAGCCACCTTGGGGTGGGGGGGGCCTTAATCACAATTTTATTTTAAAACAAAATTAAAAACCGAGGACAAATTAATTTGAAAAAAGTAAATAAAATTCCAACTTAATGGGGAAAAAGGCAAACAAAACCAAACCTCCTTCGAATGACGGGCCGGGCCAGGGCCCCGTTTGAACTGACCCCCTTAAACGGGAACTAAAACAAAGGGCGATTGGGGCGGGGGCGCCTGAATTTTCCGTTTACTGTTCTTTAAAAAGGAAAGAAACAATGGAAGGAAAACAGAGCAAATGTCGGTACAGAGAAAAGTGACAGAATCAAAGCAACAGGGCATTATCTGGAGGGGGGGGGGGAGGGGTGTCAAAAGAGTAAATAAAATTAACTTGAATTTTAAAAATGAGACCAAATGACTCAGTAACTGAACCCAAACATTTAATTTATGGGCGATGGGAACAAAGGTTTAAAGGCTAAAAATGAAATGAAATAAAAAACGTGAAATGAATAAAAAAGGCAGCAAATGTTTTTCTTTAACGACTCTGTGAATGACTCATCGGTTTAAAAGCAGGACCTGACTGAAAATTGAATTTATTTTAGTTAAGGAGGATTGTAAATGAATAAAAATTTGAAAAAGACACAATTGAAATGGAAACTCCAACGCTGAAAAAGCCACAGGCCGCTGGCTCTTAACCAGAACCCTTTGTCAAGGGGTGGGGGAAAAACAAGTCTCTTAAATCCATTTTTAAAAATGTAGCAGGGGAACATGGCTCTTAACCAACGCCAGAAACGATTTTAAAAGGTGTGTGTGTGGGGGGGGTTGGCATCAAAATAGGATTGAAAAGTCCGTCCCTGGTGCTGTCCCCCCCGGTGGGCATTGCTGGCATAGCGCCCTCCTGCTCCCTTTCCCCTTGTCTGCATCCCATTCTGCATCCCCATTGTCGGCATCCCTGGTGGCCATGGCCTATGCTGCACCCCCATTGTCTGCGTCCTGTTCTGCACCCCTGGTGACCCTGGCTGGTGCTGCACCCCCTTTGTCTGAAGCCAGTTCTGCTCCCCGGTGGCTGTGGCCCGGTGTTGCACCCCCGCACTATCTGCATCCTGGTCTGTGCCCCCCGGTGGCCGTGCCCGGAGCTGCACCCCCCATTGTCTGCGTCCCATTCTGTGCCCCCCCCCGGTGGCCGTGCCCGGTGCTGCACCCCCCATTGTCTGTGTCCCATTCTGTACCCCCCCTAGTGGCCGTGCCCGGTGCTGCCCCCCCTTGTCTGCATCCCGTTCTCCGCCCCCAATGGCCGGTGCTGCACCCCGCATTGTCTGCATCCCGTTCTGCGCCCCCGGTGGCCATGCCCGGTGCTGCACCCCCCATTGTCTGTGTCCCGTTCTACACCTCCGGTGGCCGGTGCTGCGCCCCCCAATGTCTGCATCCCATTCTGTGCCCCCCAAGTGGCCATGCCCGGTGCTGTACCCCCCATTGTCTGCATCCCATTCTGCGCCCCCAGTGGCTGGTGCTGCACCCCCCAATGTCTGCATCCCATTCTGTGCCCCCCCAGTGGCCATGCCCGGTGCTGCACCCCCCATTGTCTGCGTCCCGTTCTACGCCCCCGGTGGCCGGTGCTGCACCCCGCATTGTCTGCATCCCGTTCTACGCCCCCGGTGGCCGGTGCTGCACCCCCCCATTGTCTGCATCCCGTTCTCCGCCCCCAATGGCCGGTGCTGCACCCCGCATTGTCTGCATCCCGTTCTGCGCCCCCGGTGGCCGGTGCTGCACCCCACATTGTCTGCGTCCCATTCTGCGCCCCCAGTGGCCGGTGCTGCACCCCACGTTGTCTGCATCCCGTTCTGTGCCCCCAGTGGCCGGTGCTGCACCCTGCATTGTCTGCGTCCCATTCTGCGCCCCCCACTGCCCCGGCGCGGGGCTCAGGCACTCAGGTCGATGGTGATGTGCCGGTAGATCTGCGTGTCTCCCTTGAAGCTGGCAGCGAAGACAAAGTCCCGCTGGTGGACGGCCAGGTGGGCGAAAGAGCGGGGCGCCTGGGTGTTCAGCTCCTGGAAGCGGACGAAGAGGCCCGAGCGGGCATCGTAGCGGTACACCTGGCTGAAGGAGTAGTCGTTGCCCAGCACTGCATAGCGGTGGCTCCCAATGCCCAGTGGCTGGAAGACCATGGAGCCACGTGATGGCATGTGCTGGACGTCCCGGAACATGGAGCCCTCCCAGCGCATCACCTGAGGAGGCAGAGAGGATTGTGGGTTATGCCAGAACTGCCAGCAGGGCAGAGAGGCTGGGGATTACAGTGGATGAGAAGCCTGGCTGGGATGATTTAGTTGGGGATTGGTCCTGCTTTGAGCAGGGGGTTGGACTAGATGACCTCCTGAGGTCCCTTCCAACCCTGATATTCTATGGGTAATGCCGGACTGGAGGCAGGGGGCATCATGGGGAACAGAGAGCATGCCAAGAGAAGAGCATGATGGGAGTGGCTGAGTGGGAGCAGTGCATGATGGGAGCATATTGGGGGCAGAGGCAAAGTCAAGAGTATGCTGGGAGCAGCTGAGCAGAGACAGAGAGCATTATGGGAGCAGAGCATGCTTGGACCAGTTGGAGCGTGCTGGGAGCAGGGCATTCTGGGAGCACTGTTAGCAGGGTACACTAGGGGCATTTTGGGGGCACGCTGGGAGTATGCTGGATGCATGCAGGGCATGCTGGGAACAGGGGGTGCATGCCGGGTGCAGGGCATGCTGGCACTGGGGGCACGCTGGGCGTAGGGCAGGCTGGGAACAGGAGGTACATGCTGGGTGCAGGGCACGCTGGGGCACACCGGGCGCTGACCTTAGAATCACCAATGAAGCGGGTCAGACAGACGTAGACGTCCCCACGCAGGCGGAAGTGCTTAACGGCGTAGACGTCGTCCATGTCAGGGATATCTGTGTGGCGTAGGAAGGCGCGGCCGGGCCGGCTCCACTGGTAGACAACGGGGCGCTGGGAGCTGCTGGCCAAGATGAGGCTGGGCCGGCCGGCGAGCTCCAGGAACTCCACGTGGGTGTCGCGGTGCCAGGCGTGCAGGGCCTGGTGAGCGTAGAAGCCGCGCCCGCCCCAGCGGAAGAGCGTGGTGGCGCCCGCCTTGGAGCTGTCAGCCACGGCCAGGAACCAGTCGCCGTCCACCCGGAAGCTGGCCAGGGCGTTGGGCTTGCGGATGCGCTGCGGGCCCAGCTCCTGCAGCCGCACGAAGCGCCCCGAGGCCTCCTCCCGGCGCCACACATGGGAACCCCCGGCCAGCTGCGCCAGCACCACCAGCAGCCGCCCCTCCACCACCAGCGGCTTGCAGGCCACAGGCGACGAGCCTGGGGGGGGGCAGGGGTGAGGGGGGCTGCCCAAGGGGGGTAGGGATCAAGGGGCTGCCCAAGGGGGACAGACATCAGGGGGGCTGCCAAGGGGGCAGGGGGGTTGTCCAAGGGAGCAGGGATTGGGGGGCTGCCCAAGGGGGCAGGGATCAGAGGGCTTCCCAAGGGGGTCAGAGGTTAGAAAGAAAGGGGGAGGGAAGGAGAGGGGTTCAGGGAGGCTGCACAGGGGGAGGGTTTTTGGGGGGAGGCTGTCCCTGGGGTGGGGAGATGGGTTAAGGAGTGTCAGGGGATCTGCCCAGCAGGGAGAAAAGGGGCAGCTGGGGGCTGGTCTGAAGGTAGGGGTGCCTGGGGTGGGTGATCTCGGTGGGGGGAGGGGGCTGTCTGGGGATGTGGTCTCCAGGGTGTCTGGTCTCTGGGCTGTCGGGGGTATCTGGCAGTGTGTGTGGGGGGGCTGGGGACATCTGTCAATCACCGCTGATGGAGGTGTCAGTGTGGTCACTGGGGGCACTGGAGGTATCCCCGTGGGTGGGGTGCAGGAGGCGCTGTGGGGGCATGGTGGGGGGCAGAGCAGGGGGCTGTGCGGGTATCACCGGGGGCAGGGCTCAGGGGGGCTGTGAGGGTATCCCCGTAGGTGGGGTGCAGGGGGCACTGTGAGGGGGATGGTGGGGAGCAGAGTGGGGGGCTGTGGGGGTATCCCTGCAGGTGGTGTGCAGGGGGCGCTGGGGGGCATGGTGGGAGGTGGAGCACAGGGGGGCTCCGGGGTATCCCCGGGGGCACGCAGGGGGGCCGGGGCCCTCGCTCACCGTTGATGGAGGCGTAGGCCCGGAAGGCCCCGTCCAGGTGGTCCCACTCAAGCAGGCTGCAGCGCCCGGCGAAGGGCTGGGTGATGGCCACATGCTGCTCCCCCTGGTACCAGAACGGCTCCACCGACAGGGCCTGGAAGGGCAGCGACTGGAACAGCGCCAGCGCTGGCGGGGGGTGAAGGTTAGACCGGGGCTGGGGGGCAGCTGGGTGCTTGGATTCATCCCCAGCTCTGCCCTCACCTCTGCTTCCTATGCCAGCCTTGAGACAATAGAACCCAGGAGTCCTGGCTCCCAGCCCCCCGCCTGTTCTAACCACTAGACCTCCCTCCCTTCCTGGGTCTGGGGATAGAACCCAGGAGTCCTGAGGCTTCTCACACAGCCAGCTCCAGGGGCTGCGTATGGAGCAGTTTGTGTCTCACCAGGAATTGGGTTGAGATGTAGCGAGGGCCATGAGCTAAGAAGCATTTTCCCTTCCAATGGGTTCACCCGGCGCTGAGATGCAGCCACCTCTGGGGCGGGGCAGCTGGGGAACAGCCGCACATAATGTCACACAGGGACGGCTCACCCAGCGCTGAGATGCAGCCACTTTTGGGGTGGGGCAGCTGGGGAATAGCCGCGTAGAACACCGCACGGGGCTGGCTCAGGGGTCCCGTACCGGTGGTAATGCAGTCAAAGTCCTGGAGCTGCAGCTGGCTCAGCCGGGTGCCGTTGAGCTCGGCTGGGCCCTGGCACTCGCCCAGCTCTGCGCTGGCATTGGTGCTGCTCAGCCACTCCACCAGCCACTTGATCCGGCAGTCGCAGTGGAAGGGGTTCCCCCGCAGGTCCCTGGTGGGAGAATCGCCCCGCGTGGGGCCGTGTGGGGCTGGGGCACATGGGGCAGGGGGGCCGGAGCCAAGCAGCAAGGCCTTCCTCTGCCCCTCCCCTGCTGCTGCCCCCTCCTCACATCTCATTTCTTCCCCCTCCTCGTTTCTGCCCATCTCTACCCCCTACCCCTCCTCCCCATCACCTCCTCCACTCCTGACCCCCAGTCCCACCTCTGTCCCCCACTCACACATGGGTGAGGGCGTCCAGGCCCCGGAACAGGTGGCGCGGCAGCGTCTCCAGCTGGTTGTGTGCCAGGCTCCTGGATGAGGGGAGATGTCAGAGATGTCGAGGGCCCCTGGGGAGCACTCGCTCCCATCCGGCCACAGGGCAGGGGGCAGGGTGGTCCCAGTGTGTGTGGGGATGGGCTGGGGGGTTCCACTGGAGGGGGGCTGTCGGTGGGTTGGGATGGGTTCCCTTGGGGGTTGTCC